GTGGGGTTTACGCTCCGTGAGCATTGCCTCACCCTGTGAGGATTCTAAACATCTGTGGCTGTTGGTAATTATACACAGCCGCTGAAATGATGTAACCTCGCGGCTCGCCACCAACCGATGCCGTCTTTCCGCTTTCACTAGTTTATTCCCCATTCAAATAAATTAACTCGTTCGACGCTGCACGCGTCCGATGATTGTTAAACCCGTCCCACGAGACGCGCTAAGGAAGCAATTAACTCTGCCTGTGTCACGTGGTACACGTGTATGGACACGTGCGCGCACACCGAGATCGCAATCTTCATTTGAATCGGCTCTATTAATGCAGACAGCGTTAATTGCTTAGCGCGTCACGCGGGACGGTGTTTAACAATCATTTGGCGCGTGCCGCGTGGAACGAGTTCATTTTTATTTGAATAAGTGGGGGGGGGGTAAATTGGTAAACGCCTAAAGATGGAACGCGGAGGGGTGAGGGGTCACCAGGACTGGAGTTTTGGAAACTCTGAAATTGTAACCTATGGGTCCAATTGTCAGTGAGACCTCTGCTGGTAAGACAGACTCAGCGGTGAGACCACGTGCTCCTTACACATGTTACCTTATTCGAATTATAAGAATCTCTGTTACCGTATTATAGGGCGCTCCGGAAAGTAACATGCATCCCGCAGTTGTTGACCAGTATCAGTACAATTACTGTATACATATCTGGTCTCGCACAAGCACACGTATTTTCGTTCGTTTTATTTAAAAAACACAGGAATAAGTTCGTCGTCTAATCTGGAGAATATGGGAAAAGCTGATGAATTTACGAAGTACAACAGATTCTTGTATTATGCACTATGTTGAACTTCTTTCGCATCGTACGTAGCCAAACATGTTAATTGTAGGTGCGGGGGAAGGACAAGAAACTATGCCAAAAAAACAGTTTTGAAGAAATAAGTTTTCGATCTAGATGATTAAAACAACGTTACGTTACGCCAGTGCAGCAAATCCATCGTCGTTTTGTGCTGTGCTCCAACGTCTGTGCTCCTCGTCTTCGCCAAACCGCAGTGACCAGCGTGGTATGGTCACATGCTCAGACCGTCACCCATTACTGACATGGCACGGAGAGGCCTTTGTCCAGCAGTGGATTGACACTGCTGGATGGATTATTGATGATGCGCCGTGATGTTTTGTTTCGGTGAGCTATTCTCAAACGCGAATGGTTGCAACGGCTGTGGGAGGGGATGCAAATTGATTCTTTGTCTCGCGCTGTGAGCCAGTAGCTCGATTGGGATCAGGTCGGCTGCTAATCCGATAATGTAGACTAGTGGTTCTTAACCTGGGGTGCACGCACCCCCTGGAGGTGTGAGATGCCCTTTCTGGGGGTGTGAAACATGCCAGATATTTTGTTAAGAAGGTAAATCATCGAAACACAAATCAAGCACGGCCACGTACCTATGTGTTTATTAACACACTTTTTTTTACGAATGAGGCTGCAGTAAAGGTTGATAACCACTGATGGTAGAGTACTAGTTTAACGCTGAGGTATTGCTTGTGCTACAAAGATGATAGCACGTAAGTAGAGGTGGCACCTGCGATGAGCACGGTTGACTATGTACGGTGCAAAAGAAGTTCAGCGTACTTGCATAAATACCAAGAAGGGTCGTTGTGCGTACGTATGTTGAACTTTCGCGCGCCATACGTAGCCGATCGTGCTATCCTAGACGTTGCGTCACCCTATGGGTTCGATCCCCAACCCGGGCACCTGTCTGTGTGCAGTGTGTACGTTTTCCCTTTGTTTCACGTGGATTCCCTCCTGGGGTTCTCTGGTTTCCTCCCTTCGTCGCAAAAGAAACGCATCGTAAATATGCAAGCCTTGTATCGCAGATTTAGAAATCATACAATCAAACTTGGGTATTGGCCAATACATCCCAATGTTGTAATATTGCCTGTAAATTAGTCGATCAGTTATTGTACATTGCAGCATCTCCGTCGACTGAAAAAAAAGGTGGCGGGACCTGGCTGAAAATCAGCCTTGAGAGCGAGGTGAGGTTTTCCTGGATGAACAAACGCACAAAAAAATAGGAGTTGGTCATTACCATTCTGCGGCCGTCTGGAACGCTCTTCCTTCCAACATTACGAAGCCACTGGGGCTGTTCTTTTAAATCCACTAGATTGAAAACTAATTTCTTTACAACTGCTTTGTGTGTTTAGTTTGTTGTCCTTCCCCCCCCCCCCACATCTCCGATTTAGAACGGTTGGCTACGTACGGTGAAAAATAAGTTCACGCATGCATACATTGGACGCCACTGGAGCTTTGCACTTTTAAATCTAGATTGAAAACTCTTTTCTTTAGAACTGCTTTTAGCGTGTTTAGTTTGCTGTCTTTCACCCCGTACCTCCGATTTAGCACGGTGAGCTACGTGCGGTGCGAAAGAAGGTCAACACACATGCATACCTACCATACCGTACACAAAGGGAAAATTTCAGTCGCGTCTGTTTAGGGTAGGCGGCCTGGAGATATTTTACCCCCCCCCCTCCCGTCGAGCCACATCCAGTATGCCTCTTGCTGCAGGCTTTGGCTACCAGTCAAGTGCCACCCACTCCGATATGCCAGCAACTCGGAAATACATTCAGTGACAAATGTAATGATTATTAAAGCTTTTGCAAAACACGTTGCATTTTGCAGAGCCCACTTGGATGAGGCAAAATGAGCTTTTACCGATTACTCAACGAGCAGCAAAATATTTTTTTCACGGCGACGCCCTCGTATGCGGCGCTCGCACACTGCACCAACTCTCCCAAGGTGTGCGCGAACGTGTGAATCGCAGGAAGTCTTCTCTTCTCTCACTCGCTAAAAATACATAAAATCACACTGTACCTGAAACTCCTTTTGACGCCTTGCAGTTCATGTTGAAGGCGTCAATGCACGTCCAATAGTCCGACAAACGCCTGCACACGATATCACAATTTGATTTGGTGCCGGGTGGCTGAGGGTTATACAGCAATTTAGCCTGATGATTCCGTGGTCTAGCAAAAAAATAAATGCAATTGTGAATTAAACTGTTGAATTTGACCCCTCACTCTCTCGTGTGCTGTACAAATAATCTGGTGGTGATGCGTTGTCAGTAGTGCACAAGCACAGCCAACAAAACAACTCCACACGTTCTGTGCCAATACCACCGCGTGTGTGTGTGTGTGTGGGGAGTGGCAGTGTAGCGGGTCGGCGCTACGCTGCGCTACGAACCCAGCGATCCGGGTTCGATTCCCGCTCGCGGACAACATCAGTGAGGATTATCTGCAACGTTCTTGGGCCTCCCCTAGGTCGACTCGGTTTCAAATGAGTATCTGGTACGGTGTGTAAACATCACCACTGTGGAGACAAAGGCGGCCGGGCATGGTGTTGGCCACCCACCCCCTCGTGTGCCGTTCCGGCCTTCATAGGTGCTCGCGAACAGCATTTGCCCGAACAGCCTGTTCAGCCTATATGGGGAATCATTGTCTTTTGTGACGTTAAACATAAAACATGAAACGCAACGTTTTGGATAATGACCCTTTTTGTATGTATGTGTGTGTTGGACTTCTTTCGCACCGTACGTAGCCAACCGCACTAATCGGAGTGCCGCCATCTCTATTTACGTGCTGTAATATTCACAGCGCATAAACAGAGGTGGAGTGGGCAAGAAGAGTTTGGAGACCGCATTTGGCACCGTGGGACCTGACGGATAATTATTTTGCTTGGACAATAATTGCGTATGAAGCATTCTATGACTTGCAGAGCGAGGTTTTCATGAACAGCGGTGCGCAGGTTCGAGAGCTGGACAAGAGAGAGAGAGACGCGGGGCGAAGAGCACACCTTCATTTCTTAAGAGGCACATCCAGTATCTCTCCCTGTGCGAACAGGTTGATTGACGCCAAGCGACGATGGAGCTGGCAGGCATTGACGGAGCCTGTGCACTTGCGACGTTGGAGCTGAGGAGGGGGAGGGCGCTTGTGCAGGGTGGTGGCAGCAGCGGTGGTGGCGGCGACACCGTCTCATCGTGCGACCTCTTTCGACCCCCCGGCAAACCGGGAACCCGACGCAAATCTCATTCTACCGACCCTCCTCACCGCCACCTCCCAGCGACCGGACCTCTGGACCCCCCCTGGCGGCCACTCGCCTTTGTACCGTGGCGCTCGACCGGTGAGAGAGAGTTTGAGGGATGGCGACGCTTTGCTCGGAGCCGAAACGGCGGGCGGTGTCGTCAAGCATTGCTGTCCCTCATGTAAGGTACGATTCACGATAGCGGCCCTGTACCCTGCTGACGGTCATCTCTGCGAAGTCTAAACTGGTCCGCGGTTTGTCTCGCTTTTAAAAGAATGTCGCCGCCGGCGTGCTGGATTGACTAACGTCGCGCGTGATGAACGCGCCATAGGCCCCCTCACCCCTGGCCCTGCTTGGCCCCTGAGCCACATTCAGGTGTTTTTGGTGAGGCCACATTCAGGCTCAGGTGTTTCTTGGTGAGGCCCTGAATGTGTTCCTTGTTGAAGCCACATTAAGGCTCAGGTGTTTCTTGGTGAGGCCCTGAATGTGTTCCTTGATGAGGCCACATTCAGGCTCAGGTGTTTCTTGGTGAGGCCCTGAATGTGTTCCTTGTTGAAGCCACATTCAGGCTCAGGTGTTTCTTGGTGAGGCCCTGAATGTGTTCCTTGATGAGGCCACATTCAGGCTCAGGTGTTTCTTGGCGAGGCCCTGAATGTGTTCCTTGATGAGGCCACATTCAGGCTCAGGTGTTTCTTGGCGAGGCCCTGAATGTGTTCCTTGATGAGGCCACATTCAGGCTCAGGTGTTTCTTGGCGAGGCCCTGAATGTGTTCCTTGGTGAGGCCACATTCAGGCTCAGGTGTTTCTTGGTGAGGCCCTGAATGTGTTCCTTGGTGAGGCCACATTCAGGCTCAGGTGTTTCTTGGTGAGGCCCTGAATGTGTTCCTTGATGAGGCCCCATTCAGGTGTTTCTTGGTAAGGCCACAGTCAGATGTTTTGTGAGGCCGAAGCCTGTCACGGTTTGTTCCCGCCTCAACACTGCGAACGGTTGGTGGGAAAAAAAATCAACCGTACCACGATGGAAAGTGTTGGTTCTGATGGACCGATATGTTTATTTGGGGAAACGGAGATTTTTTTCTTCCGTTTGAGATGAATGGGTCTGGCCTGGGCCGCGCGAGTGTGTTTTGACGCTCTTCCAGAAATTGCTTTTAGACGCTCTCCAATTAAACTTGCGAGTGTTTATGCGTCAGCTCTGTCTGTTCATCTGTAACAGGAAGCGAGGAGGCAGGGGGGGCACTGTAACTCTCGTAGAGATGATCCAATATGAATGGGATCGCAGTGTGAAGTTGCTTTGCTGTGAAGAACTAGCCCTGGCTTAATCAAAGGGTTAATGCCTAGAACTTTCGAGACCGAAACCTACACTAAAAGGACAATTTGCAAATATGCAACCACATTTCTTTTCAACTGCTACTCGTCGGATTCCTTACCGCCAATAAAAAATATACTTCCGAGGATCAGTGCATGTTGTAAATGTTTGCAGGATTCATGCGTGTTCATGATTTGTATTCCTTATTGATGCACACAACATGCGCATATGATGACAGATGAATGTTGCTCATTGTTATTTGTTGGCGTTGTGCAATGTCTGCTACTGTTCGACTACGATTAGTATTGGCTGTTGTGACTTGTCGTGTGTGTGTGTGTGGCGCTGCCTTGTGTTGTATTATGTCCGTGGTGTATCGTGTGGTGTACTGTCTGTGTGGTGCGTATATTTGCGTGTGTGGTGTTTCTTGTGTGGAGTATTTCCGTAGTGGTTTGTTATTTGTGTAAGGTATTGTGTGTTTTCGCGTACATATTCTGTATTATGCGTGGATGTAGTGTATCTTGTTCGTGGTGTGTGTGGTTTATAGTGTGTATGGTGTATAATGTGCGTGTTTTATTATGTCTGCATTGTTTGGTGTGTTGGTATCTAAATACGACTGCATCTCAAGATGCTGTACGGAAATGGTGAAAAATGTTTTGAAGAGAGAGAGGCAGTAAAGAAAAAAAAGGAAGATCATGAACTTGAACAGGGGCAGGAAATCGACAGCACGAGTGACTGGGGGAAGGAATTTGTTCGATAATGGGGTAGCATAGGAGAACAAGTGAGCTCGCATTGAGTGAAGGTTGACTTGGAGGGACTTCAACAGAGAGCCTTGGTTGCTTGAGCGGAGAGCGCATGGAGGGGATTAAGGTGACATGAGAGTGCGTGGAGGCGAACAGAGGGAGGGGGAGAGGTAGGAGAGAGCAAAGTCAATCCTGGGTTGGATCGGGCGTCAGTGGAGGGATCGGGGTGATGTGGTGGTATTTGTAATGAGCATCTGTTTCTGGAGCTCGGAGACTAACACCTCCGTTATCCAGCCCGCGGGGCCGCGAGCTCCGCACGCCTGGGTTGAGATGTCGCCGTTAACGTCCTTTGATAAACGACGCAGCAGCATCATCTCGCTCGCACCGGACACCAGGGGGGCTCTTTTGTTAGTTGCTAGGCAACCGGTGAAATTGGCTTTTGGTGGTCAGTCATGTCACCGGGTTGTGGAGAAGTCCATTCTGGCACGCCACGCGTGCGTGTCTTTGTGCGTGCGTGCGTGTGTGCACGCGCGTGTGCACTGCTCGAGGCAGCTTCTGAGTCCCTGGTGCGGTGTGCAAACATTGCCACGAGAGAGACAAAGGTGGCCGGGCATGGTGTTGGCCACCCACCCCCTCGTATCCTCTGCTAGCCTTCATAGGTGCTCGCTAACAGAATGTACCCCAACAGTGTTAAGGCTATACGGGGGATCTTTGTCTTTGACGTTGCTCGGGGCAGATTCTGTTGAGCGGGGGCCAAAAGGGGGGTGCAGCATGGGCTAAAAAAGAGATGGGCTCATGCGATACGGGAGGATTTAGATTTTAGAGCTAAGTGGACTTGCCCATGTCTGGTATCAGTGGCATCTCGATCGGCTACTGGAGAGGGCTGCGTGAAGGACGCTCCTGGACAGTTGGAGACATTTGTCTTCCGGCAAAAAAGGAGGGCGGAGGGGCGAGGCTCGCAATAACGGGCAGAGCGCCGGGCGGCTAAAACGCAGCAAGATGGAGCACAGGTCATACATCTGACAGTCGTCTCAGTCAGTCAACCCACGGCACCTGGGCCTGTCCCATGACAGTCGTTGAAGTCAGTATGATGCCCTTGAAAACGGAGTGTTCCATGTTGCTTGGGACTGTTCCATGAGCTGCTAGCGAACCTTCGTCACTTCACGATGATTAAAAGTGCGTGCACATCACCGTCATTCGCCATCGTCACTTGTTGTTTTACGTACATCGTGGTGTAGTGGTTAGCTCTCTTAAGAACAGTCCTTGGAGTATTAGTGTCAACTTTGCAACAATTGTAGAATGTGGTGGTGTGAAACGACGGAGAGATCTGGCCAGATCAACAGCGTTGGGGCATGATGACCTCTTCTTGGCTTTGACCTTTAAATTTAGAAGCACAATAAAATATTACTGTCGTATTTAACCAAGCGAGAGCCCCTCGAGATTTGTTTTATTTTATATCCAGATTGATGCTCTGTATTTAATGAGCTGAAATCCATTAAGATTCATGACTTATTTTGATTGAAGTCCTTTATTTAACAAAATGAGAGCTCATTGAGATTCGTTGTCCCTTCCCTGAGTAAGATCTGAAATGCCCTCGGGCAGTAATTGTGTGTATATATTACATTTTAAAAAAAATTCGTTTAACCGCAAAAGCCAGAATAAGTCTCGATACTTCTCATGAGGAGGGTCCTCCTACCTTGGGATGTTTGGCCTTCAATGCCATCATTGAGTTTTTTTGGCTTAATTTTGGAGGACACCATAGAATCCAGAGTAAATTCACCATGCGTAAGAGCAGTTAACAATCAAAGGTCCGCACGGATGGAGTCAATCCAACGCATTCCTGCCTCCTGTCATCTCTTGCTCTCGGCCACCTCGCAGAGGTCATCGTCTCCCATGATTGATCCGCTGCTGGATGAGGGCCTCTCCAAGCCTTGGCCATCTTGTATCACCCTGAGATTCCATCGCTCCATCTCCCGCGGTGGACGTATTCTCTCGAGAGGAGGATCCCACCTCGTTGGTCTCAACCACATTTCTTGCCCAAGCTCACTTGACCCTTGTAAACAATCGATGTGATGTCTCTAACTTTTATCTTGGTGATCTCGTCAAGGAGCATAGACCATCACGCAGACTCAGGACGTCCTCGCAGCAGCGGCTTTTAGCCGGCCATCGAACAAAGTCACCGCATCGCACGCGTTCAGATGCACTTCTGCGGACGTTTGGAAGCCACTGGAGCTATGCACTTTTAAATTCAGATTGAAAACGAATTCCTTTAGAACTGATTTTTGTGTTTAGTTTGTTGTCCTTGACCCGCACCTCCGATTAACATGGTTGGTTACATGCGGCGCGAAAGAAGTTCAACATACTTGCATACATAACTGGCATTTGTTATCTCATTCGTGTGGTCCTCTTTACCTCTCTCAGTGACGATGATAATGGTGATTAACCCTGCATTCACAGCAGATACAATTTATTACGTGGCATTGGTGGTGCAAGATTAGCAACGCTAGATTAAGTCTGAGAGAAGCACACATGGGATCTAAAATCCACGAACGGAAACCAGAATACAGTCCCCTCTGCTCCATCACCATGTTGGAGCAATTTAATTATTGAGTTTAATGGTAGTGGTGTTGTTCTGCCATTTGGCTCCGCTTTGCATGTGTTTTGTGGAAATGGTGTTGTGTGTTATTTGCTGTAATAATGCTTTGATGACCCCCCCTCCTTCCCCCCACAAAAAGCCCCATATTCACAAGTTACCAGCGCTGCATTCAGTTGGTCGCACGGACCGGTGGTCAGTAGAAAAAAAAATGGCACGAACTATTCATGGGTGCAGATTTTTCCAGGGATGCATCTGTGCCACAGTGGTGGTGTGACGGTCATCACCGCGCTGGACTTGCCAATCCAGAGGCCGCCGGTTCTATTCCATCTCCCGGTTCGGGCCGTTGAAACCAATAGAGCAAGTTTCTTAAATCCCCCCCCCCACCTTCCCCCGCCCCACCACCTTCACCTCTCTCCACCCTGCAGTCTAAATGAGTTTACAGTTATTCGAGTGCGGTTAAAGTGTGGGTACTCCAACTTCTGCCAAGATATCCAGTCGGCGTGGAATAGTAGGCCAAATATCAATGTTATAAGGGCTAATTCTAT